AAATATAACTGGAACATCAGCGCATTGACCAAGATGGACGTTTTCAGCTAGAAAAGAGCATTTTAATTTAGATTTCTTTAAAATATGTACCTTTTTGAGTTTTACCTTTGGCTACTTCTCCTAGCTCTACAATACTAAACAAATCTCCAAGCTGTGAGTTCAGTTTGGAAAGTTTTCCTTTTAAGCTAGTTTCAAAGCTCACTCCACCTCGTTTTAAACCTTTCATGATGCCTGTATATCAACTAACCAATAAGCAAATCAAAAGCTTCGGCAAATCCTAAATAAAATATTACCAAGAGCCTTCCGCATGCTCAAGTTATTCTCCGTCTTCACTTTGAACATATCTTCCGTCCGCATGCGTTTCCGTTCTTTCAAAGATGCAGTAGAATTAGCTTTTCGAAATACGGATGGTTTTCCTCGACGATTTGATAAGCGAATGTTTTCAGAACCTGTATGAATCAAATAAAACGTTAAAACTACATTCTGAAATACATCAGTTGCTGTTGAAGTTGAGACTTTTTCGGCTAGAAACTTTGACACAGCTGCTTCTGATACCTTTGGTGGAGAATTATTTTCTTTCAGAAGTCTTGCTAAACTTTCTGAACGCTCAGTGACAGTACAAACGTGATTCTTCCCTCGTCCGATTTCCGTTAGACAAGTATTACACATGCGTATGACTTTAGTAGTGTTTAAATTGCACGGTTTTGAATTACGTTGGTTTTCCTTTCTAGGAACTGTTCCCGGTAGATTTTTACCATACTTTAGTTGGGCAGCCTCACAAACTTCACAAGTGCACTTTGAATTTGTTCTCGTACTCTTAGAATAGTTAAACTTGTATTTATGTAGGACCACTTTTCTGCTATTTCCATTTACAGGGCTGCAATAAATCCGACACTTGGCACATATTGAGGACAGATAATACCACTCGCGAACATCAATATCGCTTAAGTAATGATCCCTAATCACTTGACGTATTGCACTGGAGATCGGTCTAACGTTTTTTTGATTTGAAAGGCATAAAATGCACACTTTTTTTTAATGATTGCGTGATAATCCATGATAAAATTTCAAGCAAAACAAAGCGCGCTGCAACTCACTAAAGGCACGTTTGTCAATAACGTTTGTCAATGCCTACTTGTGTTCTCTAAAAAAAACAGCGAGTGTTGCGATTTGTGCATGTAAAATAAGAATACGTGATGGAATTTCCCTGTTTTTAGTGAGATTTATGCAGTTACGCCATCAAAAGGGCGTAACTCGAAAATGCGCCTTACATTTTTTTTTAAATTTGTTTCAGAGATGCAGAATGATCTAACGAATCGATTGGTATACTCACTTTTGATGGAACTAATTTTTTTTATAATAACGGTCAGAGGAGCACCGTGTAGGGTATTATTCAAACCAGCTAATGATCCGCAGAGACACCAAATTCCTTCCTAGACGTTTCAGTAATATTCCGCCGTCAACTCTATCGAAAGCTGATTTCAAATCAGTTAATGCGGTGACGATCACATAACGGTTATACGTGCGATAATTGTTACTATGTTAAATGTTGCTTGGCAAAAGGACAACGAGACTGGCAGTGGGTTCAGAGTGCTTTGGATCTTAGACGTTTGAGTCGTTGTAAATGTGTATTTCCCCAAGGAGGTTTCGAAGATGGCCTGCGCAGTGTAACAAAATCAAGCAAGTAACCCTTCAACACAATGGTTAAGTACTCTACAGCAATGTCAATATCTTCAGCGGATTCAAGGATGTGCCGTCAGTGTGGCGAAGCGCTTCAAGTAATTCTTCAAAATCAGTGTGGTGAAAGTCAAGTCCAGGTTCATCCGGGAAGCTCCCAAATTCAGTAGGCAGTGAGAGACTAATAATTACTTCAAAAGCGGGATGATTTGCATCAAGAATAGAGAGCGGTTCTACAGCTTCTTTAATCTGACATCGAGAGAGAAAATACTATAGAACATTAAATACTTTTTAACTCCAATAATTACAGTTGAAATTTCGTAATCAAAGTACATTTATTACATTTTCAATACTTTTAATTACATTAATTACGGAAAGATAATGTTAATATCCGTCAGTACTACTTCAAAACGCATTAATTACTTTAAGTACTTTTGATTGCATTTTAACTTCAACGCACCGGTTATTTGTATTGCGTGCCCCTCGGCTTTGAGTTCATTTGCTTTATTCAGGACCGCAGTTCAGTAATCGCAGTCGGTAGCGTGCAAAAAGAAGATTTATCATCGGCCTGACACAAGATCGCTTGGAATAACTCGAATAACTCAGCACATTTGTCACACATCCACACATTTTTTTTTTTGTGGACGTGAAGTACGATTGCATTTTGATTACCCAAAAGTATCTGACTATAAGATAAATATTTTTTTATGTTGTTTATGTTATGACCATGCTTGAATGTATTTTTGTTTACTGTAGTTGATAAGGTTTTTTTCCTTGATTTGTTTACCGTCGATCTTGTTTTCCGTGCTGAGCACCAATGCTACCGACGCCAGGGAGGCAGCTCCCACACCTGGACCCTACCTATCGCCCCATAAACTCATGAACCGGGGACCAATGGCTTTACTTCCCTAGTAGTGGCGCTAGTGTCGATAAATTTTCTGTTGAAAATTGCCGCTAGGCGCTACCGGCACTTAGTGTATAGTGTAAGTTGTGCAACGCCAGTGCCATCATGTTGTCAAAGAGGTTTGTTTAAGTGTTGTTAAGTCGGCGTTGGTTGCGCTTAAGTTGAATCAAAGACAACATATCAAGAAGACTGGCAACTTTGCCGGAATCCAAGCGACAAATAGAGTAGCGCTGCGCTTGAGCGAAGGTGGAACCAACGCATAGAGAAATGAGCAAATACACAAACCTATCTTCTGAGGATGTAATCTTTGCTATCAAATTCGTTCGAAGCATTTACCTTTGAGCGACAGATGACGCGATTGTACCTGTCTCATAGCGGTGTATGAGAAAATGGAAGAGTTGCCAGTCTTCTTGATATGTTGTCTTTGGTTGAATAGAAATCTTTACACTAGTTTTTACAGAAATTTTTTGCAAAGTCGGAGATAATTTTATAAGTGTATAGCATTACCAAAATAACCTTAAAATATATAAAACGGCCTGACGAAACTTACAACAATCTTAAAAACGACAACTTTCATAATTATGTTAAAACGTCAAAATGATCCTGTAGTGACCGAGTTTTGTGTCCTAAAGGCCAAAAATGACGCAAATAAGTGAAAAAGGCCTGGGCTTTCCAAACTGACTTTAAAATGTCAAAGTGGCCTTGAATTGCCAACAAATATAAACCGGTGAGTCAACCCATAGATTGAGAAACGCTGGTATAGTATTAAGTGTTCAGTAACCTCTGGTTGAGGGGCCTCCCTTAGCTCAGTCGGTAAAGGTGCAGCTACAAAGCAAGACCATGCTGGAGGTGGCTGTGTTCGATTTCCGGTCCGGTCTAGGAATTTTTTGCGCTGGAAAATGTTTCGACTTCCCTGGGCATAGATTATACTTGCCACACAACAATACTAATGCAAAAATAAATGGTACAGGCATCGAAAACTCTCAATTAATAACTGTGGAAGTACATCTAGAACACCTAGTTGAGAGCACGCAATAAGCTAATATGCGATAAATCAATAGGCTTGAAATGCGGAGAAAGTAGAAGAACCTTTGGTTGAACACGGTGTCAATTGTCATTGGTATTAAAACTGCATAAATCCTTCGCATAGGGTAAGGATCTAATTTCCTATATTCTAAGCTAAACCCGTAATTTACATCTTCTTTTCTAAAGGTGTTTGAACATAAACTGTAATATATTTTTTCAAAGATGCGTTCTACATTTATTTACATTTCCACGCGTACCATTAGATTTGACACACAGTCACAAATTGTTGAGTTATTGTTAAAAAATCTAATACTGCTTCTCGATTCCAATTCCGTCATACGAGTTTCAATTCCGTCCCAGCACATTGAAATGTCATTGAGTTCATTTCGGTAAATGGATGAAGGGGAAAAAATAGATTCACTAGGAACACTTCTTTTGTTTTTGAAAATAATTCATCCATATTATGCGTGCACTTTAAAAGATGAGTGAAGAATAAATCTCCACTGAGCTTTCATAAAAGCCTAAGTAAACTCTTCCAAGTAAACCATCAGGATAATTTTGTAGAAGTCCCTTTATCTAAATTTGTGAAAGAAGCCCCTGTTTGCGTTTGTGACTCATGCCTTGTTCAGGCTGGAGAGTTATAACATGTTATAACGGTTGTCAAATAATTGCAACACAGAGACCACCATCAAGACACCGCTATAACATGTTATAACTCTTGTAGTCTGAACGTACTATTATATTACGTTCAGACTACAGAGTTATAACATGTTATAGCGCTATCTTGATGGTGGTTTCTGTGTTGCAATTAGTTGACAACCGTTATAACATGTTATAACTCTCCAGTCTGGACAGCGTTTTAGACTCTTATCGCAGACAAACAGACGTAACTCTTTGAAAAGTTTTTCTTGAAAACATAGTTTCTCAAAACATAGAACCTCAGTAATGACATCTCTCGGGCTTCTCGCGGAAAACAAGCTTGCTCACTAACTCGCAAACAATATTGCATAAAAGCTCTATATAATGTATAGAAACGTCAAAGTGATCCGATGCCAGCGCTGCGGCGAGTAGTTCGCGGAACTGATAATATTCAAATCAACCATTAAATGCGTGAACGAAGATACACAATGAAGTGTTACGTCTGTTTGTCTGTGCTCTTATGAATGCTCAGTGGAGAGAAGTTTGGATGAAATACATAGCTTATTTTTTATGAAATGTGAAATCCACCCAGAATTGACGATGTGCTTTTTATGCTCCATCACATTGTAAAAAACGAATCACACTATCGAAATTGTGAGTTATGTTTTATTTCACATGTTATGTTGTTCACATTTTGTGTTCGTCAAAATTATAAATTCGAACTGTATGTCATAACAACACTACTAACAATGCACTAAACTCCTGTTATATTTCGAATCCAACTACGAACAGGGGTAACATAACTGTACACTCCGTAATAGTCTTTCATGGCGCATCCTTCTGCCCAGGAAATTATGCCCGTCAACAATCCATTACACATCAGAGGTCCTCCGGAATCACCCTTGAAAAGGAAAATATCAAGTACGAATGCGGAGTGTTCTTAATAATAGCTTGAATAAACATCACCCATACGTACCTCACATGCATCCTTCTCACCTGTAGTATATCCGGCACATATCATTCGTGGGGTAATGGTTTCAGACGGTTCATACGCTGATCGACAGGTGCTTTGGCTAACAATTGGCACTGACACCGTCATCACTCGTTTGCTAGTTTCAGAGTAGGTCGTTCTACCCCAACCCATCACCTGACAAAGATGACCCGGTAGAAATCGCTTCGAACCATTTTTCAAGATTGCCGGAACGGCTCTTCCAAAAGGATGGCTCAACCGAATTAGCCCGTAATCATAATCTCTGGTGAGGTATACATCGAACTTGTTATGTTGAATAATTTCTGAAACTCGTAACAATACTCCTCCTTGCTCGTGAAATGATGATTCGGCTCGAATAACTAAACCTGTCGCTGTCTCGCCTCTGGAATTGTACACGTGAAACATGCCATCAGATGAAAAACAAAATTATTTCAATATTAATACAAGGCAAGTATTTTCCATACTGTAGGCAATGAGCTGCTGTCAGGATCCATTTTTCACTAATGAAAGCTCCACCGCAAATATGCCTCTTGATGCTGCCGCTCTTGCGCTGAATCGAAATCAAGTACGGAAACTGCGTTATAGCTGCATTTATGCCATTGATAATGCGGTACGATCCACCATTATTCGTCTGCTGATGGCTGGTTTGAAGGCGCTAAACTTTTCAATAGATTTCACGCATAAATATATACGTGTAACGTTTGCATTAGAATAGTCGATAACCTGTATGCTGAGCTAACTGTTACCTACAGACAGAAGCCCCGATATTATGTACAACATCAAATGCTGATAATTAAATTTAAATCTACTCATTGAACAGGAGTCTAGCGCAAGTGTGATCGAATGGAACGAGAAGTACGTTGAAATGTGAACGGATTACTGAACTTCCACCAATTTTGTTTCAATGGTGTCCGTTCGGACGCAAATGATTTGCTCGAGTTGAATGGTACTTTCCTAGGTCGAAGCGTTCAATGACGATGTGAATCGTTTACCACTAATGACCACACCGATTTCCCGATGGATAATAGATGAAAACGTTCAAGAGTGGTCAGAATTATTGCACCATTTGACCAAATGAAGTTCACAAAAATTATACAAATTCACTAACTCATTATACTCAATCAGCAGAACATCAGATGTACCGTTTTTTTTTCAATGCAAAATGTGGTAAATGATACACTTTGCTTCTGAAGGAGAAAAGAAAATCTTGGAACACCAAGTTTATGAAAAAAAATGCGGCTCCGGTGATGCAGTGGTAAGCGTGACTGTCTCTCACTCCTAAGGGCCTGGGTTCAATCTCAGTCGGTCTCGTTTGGATTTTCTGAAGCATAAAAACTCTTATCACACCTTCCTTCGAAAGGGAAGTTAAGCCGTTGGTCCCCGGTGCATGAGTTAATAGGGTGTGAGAGCTGCCTCCTGGCGTCGGTAGCATTGGTACTTAGTACGGAAAGATCGACGGAAAACAAAACAAGGAAAAAAATCACGAAAACTTTATTTAATCACCCAATAACTGAGAGGGTATACACTCAGGTCTTTTTTTACACGGGGGATACGTACCGTGTAAAAAAAACCGTGTAAAAAAAAACCTACGAGATTTTGATTTTTCGCATGCTTAAATGTTTTTAAAAAATCGGATTTTGATGCCATTTGTAATTAAAGCATGATATGGTCCATATAGACATATTTTAAAAATTTCTGTATTTACACCAAAAATTGTGATTTTTTTTTTTTAAGTATGCCATTTGATTACCTATAGCTTGAAACGGATAATGTGATTGGAATCAAGTCGATAGGTTGTATCGTTGTCGAGAAATCGTTAAAAACGTACCGTGTAAATCGTGGAAAACCGTGTAAAAAAACCGTGTAAAAAAAAACCGCGTAAAAAAAACCGTGTAAAAAAAGACTTCAGTGTATTTCCTAAACTTAGCAACCAATTTCGGTTTTAATCATATCTCAACAATTAATTTACCTGCAGGCGAAATGTCACTACCGTCATATGTGGTAATATCAGGCATAGCATTTGATAACGGCACAAAAGCATTTGTAAACAAACATTCTAAGGCCCTTTACACGCGAACCAAAGTACGCCCACGCAAACCAACAACATAGGTGATAGGGGCAACTATCACCTTTCCGAAAGTGGTATTGGTTTGCATGGGCGTCCTTTGGTTCGCGTGTAAAGGGCTTTAGAAAGTTTGTTTACAAATGCGTTTGTGCCGTTATCAAATGTTATGCCTGATATATGCATACTATTTTTTTGACAATTGAGCACGACATATCATTATTACGTACAAAATTTCCCGGAAAATGAAAGTTGTATCAGCCCACAGTCGCCTATAAATGGATGTAAATTTGTTCTATCGAAAGCAGTCCTTGAGATGAGATTTTTGAGAGGTTTTAAACTCCCCTCCCTTTGCGTAGACAAAGGCCCATACATTTTTTTGAAAAATGTGTATGGACCATATACACTAGCCTAACCTCAAAAACGTCTACGTAGTTTATGAACAACCCCCTATAATTATAGTCATTGAACAACACGTTTTAGCTCATTCAGACTTGTCCCGAGATGATATTTGAACTCGTGACCTTCAGTAAGAAGGACATGGAAACTAACAACTACGTCAGAATAGACCTGGTCGTTTTTTTTCATCCTACTATCTGTTTGTGTGTAAGTGTGTATTTTTGTTTTATGTGTATGTGTGTAACGAAAAAAAGTAACTCATATTTCTCAGCAACCACTGGACCAAATTATGTGTAACATCCGTCAAATGAAAGGTATCATAGTTCCATGGAACGCTATTCAATATTTCTGGAATCGGTTGACTGAATGACCGGAACATGTTCCGCTGAATACGGGCCTCAAAACTAGAAGAGGCTGCCAAACACACCCTGCGACACATCAAAACATGTAATGTGCTCCGTTGTTTTTGACATTTTCTGAATACTTTTGGTACACTTCAAATCAAATGCTTTGCCTTGCGCTTCGGTCAGAGAGCGTATAGGGCGTCGTTATGCCAATTTGGTCGTGACGCATTTCAAGTATGAGGAGTGATTGCATTTAGATCAAAAGTGCCTGAGAAAAATGCAAGTACTTTCGCGGAGTACCCGAAGTTGCGATAGTGAAGGTATGCTCACTAAACTGATGCAAAATTTGACTTTTTCGCTCCACAGTGCTTAAATGGTTTCAAATCGGGTCCTGATTAGCCTCCCACAGTTACAACTCATTTGGTTAGAAACAGACTTCGCACAAGCCATTTGAAGTTTACGTGTAAATTACTATGGGAAATCTCAACTTTTTGTTCATTGACTTTTAGTCTTTTTCCATATTGAGCTGCGAAACAGTTCGAAAATTTTCTCAGCTACAACTTTACTCAAGATCGTTTCTATGTAAAACGAGACAGGAAAAAGTTATTAATTATTTAAGAGCTTGGTAAACTTATGACATGATCAAGTAGCTGATCTGTAGGCAACACTGTATTTTGCAGTGTGACATAGTAGGCATGCTGTCCTATTCAACGCTCCAGAAACACCAATAATGTTGCCTGCTGAGCAGTTGATTGAGCATGATCATAATACATCAGCGCATTGAACCATTGATAACTTTCGATCCTTGCATTTAATGAAAAAGAGGTATTGAGCAAAGTTGTAGCTGGGAAAATTTCCTACAAGTACAATTGAAAGCTTTTAACGCAGACCGATATGGTGAATTATTAGATAGACATGAACAAAAATCTTGGTTTTACCATAGTAATTCCCATACAAACTTCAAATGGTTTGTGCCATCTCAGTTTCTCACCAAATGGGTTCAAAATTTTGAGAGGTTAGTCAGGATCCAATGTTCAATGAGTTGTGTCTGTGTCGATAGATAGGGTCCAGGTGTGGATTCTGCCTTCCTGGCGTCGGTAGCATTGGTGCTCAGCACGGAAAACAAGATCGACGGAAAACAAATCCAAGGAAAAACAAACTTGCTACCGACAAAAAAATCGGTAAATTAAGAATTTTACAGATTTTTCGGTAAAGAAAATTTGATTTACCAACATTCGGTAATGTTGACGAAGTCCGTAAAAAATATTACAGTACGATCTGTAAAACAAGGCAATCGCCGAATTCGCAAAAAAACGCCGAACAAACTGCAAATTGTTAAAACGATTACCGAACTTCTGTAAATTATTCCAGACTGTCAAATCGATAGACGTTTATAATTGTATTTTGCCGGCCCCCGTGGTGTAGTGGTTCTAACACCACGAAAGCAGCCACCTGCCATAAGGACACTTTAGTGAGTAATATATGTACCCTTACTATTATAATATAATTTATCTACTAAATAAAAACTGCAACCGCATACGCTAATAATTTCTAAGTGTGTTGAATTATAGTTTCCGTTTTGTGATGTTTGCGAAGGGCAAACATTTAATTTAATTACTGAATTCTTTTATTTAAGATAATCCTAATTGATTATATGAATGTTCACACGGGCTGAAAAGCTACAGGTTCCATACATCGGCCAACTTTCTGGCACTCACGTGCTGTTCTTTCGGTGTGCAAGTACTCCTGTAGGCCCACCGATTTCGGTAGTAAAACGAGGTTGAAAAGGATTTCCCGTTGACCTACTCTTAAATGACCAGTAGTGTACTTTTGGGTAGAGCAGTCGCCACAGACGCTACCACCATCCATCGTCGGGGTCCCTCGAGAAGGTTGGTGGAATCCGTTGTTACCACCGCGGCCGCCGAAAATCTCACGACGTCCTTGCGCCCCTCAGCTACCGTCTCGCTGTCGTCAACAGTTTAGCACTAAAGCCCTACAGTAAAAGTATGGACGTCTGTCAAAAGTTGTTCCAATCGAACCATCAAAATGCACCGCTATGCTCGATTGGAACAGCTTTTTCCAGTTTTGTAGTGACAGTCGTCTATACTTTAACTAGAGGGCTTTATTCAGCACTACAAACACACTGACCATCCCGAAGAATTACGAAAAAGATAATGAATACGCATACCTAAATGAATTTAAATTCAATTACGTTTCCGTTATTATTTTGCACCAAAGTTCGCTCCGGGTTACGTTATCCGTTACGTTTTTACTATCGAATCGATACCTTTGCGTTTATTTCCACTTTTTTAAGATCGTTATTAGCATGAAATTGGCGAGTCCACCTGTCCGTTATTCACTCCCGAGTTTATGACTATACGGTCATTTCTATACGATTGCTTTGCCTTTGGTATTGAAGAACCATTCCGAAAATCCTCTTGAGGTTCTCGCTCATGTTATTCAGCTTAATCGGGCAAACAAAAAATAACACGACCAGTGGTCTCTCGATCTCGAGAGTGGCGCATAAACCACTGCGTTTGCGATAGTCTCTCTTAGCGCATTCAACGGACGGTTACAAACATATCAGACACAGTCTATGCTCTGTAACTCAAAAAAAATTAATGTACATTCCTGTTCCCCTAAATATGATTGAAGATTTGGAAAATGTGATGAAATTACCACAAGAATTAATAAAAAATTTCGGATTTAAGTAGCTAACAACCTTTTGGTTAGCAGTTGTAGCTAACTAGTACAAAACGTTGTAACATCACACACACATCACAAAAACAGGCTTAAGCGTGCATATATCTTGTTAGAATGTGTCATGAGAATTCTGAAATAAGATCGATTCTGGTCACAATGACTACATTTGCTACACCAAGACATGTTAATGGTACCCCAGGGGAAATGACCAGCCTCTATCTTGAACCACAACTCGTCATGCGACACCTCAAATCACCACTAGCCTATGGCTAAAAATCTTAAAAATAAAGTCTAAAAAAAACCTC